AATTTCGAATATACTCGTAATTAGTACTTAAGTAGAACCTATTTAAAAAATGTATTTAATTCAAAATAATGATTTAGGTAGATGCACAACATGTTAAGAAGATAAATTGTACAATTTAATATTTAATTTTCAAGTTTCTCCTGACGCGGCTATCATAATAATTTTATAAATTAATGATATATTTTTTATTATATTTACTATTTAGCAACCATAGTAGATTCTCCTCCTTTCGATTCTAAGTACCCCACTGATCACAGATAATTACTATATATTTTGTAATAGGTAGGTAGTGCCACTAGGTACTCTTGCTATGCTGTATAGATGACTGCGCATAATTAAATAMAAACATTTCTTTGTGCATCTRTAAGTTTGCCACCACAAAAGATTCTTTTGATCTCGATTATCGGAACGTAAGAATGYAGAACAGAGAATAATCAATAATGTCCATAGTTCAGTTTAACTCTTCCTATTGCTGTCAATATATTTTATAAACTCTTACAGTTAGTGAAACCCGAAAGAATTTCATATAAGAAGCAGTAAAAAAACTTCAGTACTCAAACCTACGTTCGGAATCACGATCTGTTAATCTTTAGAATTTACAAATAAATGAATTGGTTTTACAAACACATTTCCCAATAGTAATTTAAAATTAAATTACAGAATATAACACCGAAGTTTGAATTGACGAGTAGCGATACAAACCAAAGCTGTGATTTGAAATAAACCWTAGCGACTTTAATTTCGGTCACAGAATTATATTTACCAGTTTAAAAACTTTGGGCAATTTAAGTTTTACTTGCTAAAAGTAAAATCAAATGTATACTCTCAGTCACGAAAACCTAAAAAAAAACCTATTCCAACCTTATTATAGTTATTAGTATTAAGTACTTTAAAAAATTAATGAGTTCTGGGCAAGGTATTTTAACTGAACGATGCTGTTGTTTGAAATGAGAATTTAAAAAAAAAACGAATAATTATAATTACTATCTGAGGTATCAAACACTTTTTTTTGCCATCATCTGAATATGAAAAGATTCAAAATTAGAAACTTTAGTTCAAAAAACTATTAAACATATGGTTTAA